CTTCACCGGGGGTGGGGGAGACATGAGGCCAAGAAATTCCTACAGGAGGCCAGGCGCGGTGGCTCACGCCTGTAATCCCAGCACAGGGAATCTGAGGTGGGCGGATCACAAGGTCAGGAGTTTGAAACCAGCCTGGCTAACATGGTGAAACCCTGTCTCTACTAAAAATACAAAAATTAGCCGGGTGTGGTGGCGGGCACCTCTAATCCCAGCTACTCGGAAGGCTGAGGTAGGAGAATCACTTGAACTTGGGAGGCAGAGGTTGCAGTGAGCTGAGATCGCCATTGCACTCCAGCCTGGGGGACAGGGTAAGACTCCATTTAAAAAAGAAAAGAAGAGAAAAGAAATTTCTACAGGAAGACCAACATGTCAGTCTTTTGACCTCCTTCCTCAGAACTTGCTCCCCTCCTTGAGAAGCCCCCACTCATGAGGTATAGTGGGGAGCTGGACTGGACAGAGCTCCCCTTCACGGCACAGACCCAGCCCTGACCAGACCCCATCCAGAGCACAGCCCCTCCCCTTTCTGGATCACAGGCTCAGCTCAGTCCTCAGAAACGGAGGACACAGAGCCTTGACCCTCAGTGCTGCACACAGATTACTATCGCCTGGGACACCGCAGGTATTACTGAGGGTGGATCTCAAACTGACTGTGGAATCTTGGGTAAAGGAGCACAAGAGATGTTTCTGCAAAATGTTCTGCAAAAAGCCGAAATGCTTTCAAGTTTTAGCGGAAAGTTGAAATGGTTTATGTTAAAAGCTATTTTTGCCAGTGGATGGGGCAGTGTTTGAAATGGTTTACGTTGAAAAGGTTATTTCTGGCCGGGCGCGGTGGCTCAAGCCTGTAATCCCAGCACTTTGGGAGGCCGAGGCGGGTGGATCACGAGGTCAAGAGATCGAGACCATCCTGGTCAACATGGTGAAACCCCGTCTCTACTAAAAATACAAAAAACATTAGCTGGGCATGGTGGTGCGTGCCTGTAATCCCAGCTACTCAGGAGGCTGAGGCAGGAGAATTGCCTGAACCCAGGAGGCGGAGGTTGCGGTGAGCCGAGATCGCGCCATTGCACTCCAACCTGGGTAACAAGAGCAAAACTCCGTCTCAAAAAAAAAAAAAAAAAAAAAAAAAAGGTTATTTCTGCCAGCAGGTAGGACGGAAGAGCTGCTAGTGAGACTGAAGCAACTCTGGGTAGAGATCTGCCATCTCTGGGGTACTGACTGAATCCGGGAGAGTTTCTGCAATTTGAATTAATTTAACAACTTAACTAAAAAGCCCTGAAAATGTCTGTGAGGGGTATGCAAACTCGAACGTGAAATGCAAAACTCTGCCTGGGCAGAATGTGTAATTTCATGTGGCCTCAAAACAGAACTTAATAGAGTCCCCTCCATATTATACGCCCCATTCACCCTTGAGGGAGAGGGTCAACCCTGTGCACAGTTGCAGAGATTTTCTTACAGTAAATATCTGGGATGTGCAGCGAGGAGGGCCAATACCTGTGACATTAACTCTTGCTTTAGAAAAACCAGTAACTTTTATTTATTTTAAATCTTACTCAACTTCAAAAGGTTATCAGCTATATTACATGCCATGATTAGCTTTCTATAAGCAATTTTGTTTACTGTGTACAGATCAGTGTCAATGAAATAAAAAGTAAAACTGTATACGGGGCAAAGAACTTTACTAACCGTTGTTTCAAGCTTGATTCCCAGGCTTCTTCGGCTTCATTAGCTGCAAAGAATGAATTGTTTATAAGCAAAAACAGAAAAGAGCTGCAGTGTCTGAGGGGCTTGGGCTTAAAAATATTAGAGATCCAGATTTTATCAGATCCATAAAGATAACCTTCTTAAAAAGCAGACATACGGCCGGGCGCGGTGGCTCAAGCCTGTAATCCCAGCACTTTGGGAGGCCGAGGCGGGTGGATCACAAGGTCAAGAGATCGAGACCATCCTGGTCAACACGGTGAAACCCCGTCTCTACTAAAAATACAAAAAATCAGCTGGGCATGGTGGCGCATGCCTGTAGTCCCAGCTACTCAGGAGGTTGAGGCAGGAGAATTGCCTGAACCCAGGAGGCGGAGGTTGCGGTGAGCCGAGATCGCGCCATTGCACTCCAGCCTGGGTAACATGAGTGAAACTCCGTCTCAAAAAAAAAAAAAAAAAAGACAGACATAATATAAAATAGCAGCTCCCAGTAACTTCTTTGAGTTTTCGGAAGTTGACTCAATTCCGTTTGCCTCATTCTTGGAACCCTCATCAAAATTCTCCACAAGATCTGGAACTTCATCATCACCATCATCATCTCCAGTAGCAAGTGGTACTTTTCCATCCACAGATTTTGGGCAGACTGTCTGCCCCGAGCTGGTTTAAGATGCTGGGTGGCATTTCTGTCAGCTGCTTTGTCTCAGCATGGCCTGGGATGATGAAAGTGTTCACTGCCAGAGATGCTTGAACTTCAGGATTGTGAAAGCGAATCGCTGTTCCTTGGTTTGTAAACATATATTCACCTCTTCAATACCAGAGATATAGTTTACCCCTAACTTCCTTAAGGAGAACTTAAGTTCTTTTTATCATCTGCTGCGGCTGTTCTATGAATCACCTTCTTTCTGCGAGCAGTTCCTTTCCCACCAATGAGCACCTGTGTCTGCAGTTTGGGGTTTTCCTGGTTCGTGATTGTTTCTTTCATCTTGTCGGAGCAGATAAGGGGCCGTTGGGGGCACTAGGGTTGTTGCTCAGGGGGTCTCGGGTGGACGAGCTGAGATTAGGCGCATGCACGCGGGAATGCAAGATGGCAGCAAAACCAGTAACTTTTAAAAAATAGTTAAGTAACTTAAGTTTGCAATTTAGGAAAATATCTTAGTTTCCAATATAGACAGCCCACATAACTCTAAGGCTTTACCTTAAAATGGAAACATTAACTGAAAATAAGCAGAAAGGAAAACTGCTCCGCAGGACACGAAATAGACTTAAGTGCTCCCAAGCCCAGAAAATAGGGACACTCTGGGAACCACGTGGCTGGAAACGCAGGTCTGACGGCCCTCCCGCCGTCCCTCCCGGCCCCGCCCCACGCCTGTCCAGGCCCCGCCCCAACCCTCGCGTTTTTCCCCCTGCCCCCGCCCCCTGCCCGTCGCGCCCCGCCCAGGCCCCGCCCCTAGGCGGCCTAAGCCCTCCCCGGCCCGTCCCCTGCCGGTCGCTTCCTGATCAGGCCCCGCCCCTATCCCCGCCCAGTCTGAGCTGCGCGCGGTTTTCTGCAAACCCGGAAGCGGATCGCGGGGAGTGAAGAGTGCACCGCGGAGCGTGAGTTTTCCTCTCTAGATAAAATCTGCGCTTCGCAGTCCCCCTCCTTCCATCCCCCGGGTCTGGAGGAGGTCCCTACAGACCTTAAAACGCCCGCACCGCTCCCTCCACCCCAAGTAAATTCTGACGTTGCTGTGAGAGTGCGGGGATCGCTTTCCCTTTGGGTTAAAGTCGCTTAGGCTGGTCCCTGACCCTCGTCTTTCGTCTCGCGCTAAGTAAACACGGCCTTTCGCGTCTTTTCCTGCCTGAAATCCTTTACTGATTTTTCTTCCCGCCACGCTGGAGGGCACTTCTTAAAGCCCTCACCTGCAGGGTGGATTCAGTTCTATCCGATTCTCTAAGACACGCCCTTGTCGGTCCCTGGAGCGCACGCAGCGCTGCAGCCTCAGTCCCGAGGGGCCGCGTCCTTTCCTTGGTTCTGGGATTCTGCAGACCCCACCCCTGTCCTGAGGTGCCACCTCTGTCGTTCTCACCTCAAGTCTTTCTCAGGCAGGGCCTTCAAGCTCCCAAGCCCCTCTTGGCAGTCACTTCCCGTGGCGGGAGGTGACCTGGGCTTGTCCTGTGACATCCATGGTGGAGGAGGTGACGTGGGCCTGTCCTGTGACACCCAGTATCTTTTTATTTTTTTTTTTTGAGACCGAGTCTCGCTCTCTCAGGCTGGAGTGCAGTGGTGCGACCTCAGTTCACTGTAACCTACGCCTCACAGGTTCCAACGAGTCTCCTGCCTCAGCCTACCGAGTAGCTGGGATTACAGGCACCTGCCACCACGCCCGGCTAATTTTTGTATTTTCAGTAGAGATGGAGGTTTCCTCATGTTGGCCAGGCTGGTCTCGAACTCCTGACCTCAGGTTATCCCCCTGCCTCAGGCTCCCAAAGGGCTGGGATTACAGGCATGAGCCGCGGGGCCAGCCAACATAGAACACTTCTGACAGCAAATGTGTGGGAGTTTTTTCCCACATACTAGGCAGTTCTCCAGTGGACACCAGCTGGGTGCTCTACAAGACACTGTGCACCTGGAGCTAGAGTCAGATCCAACAGGTTAAGGTCTTAGTCCCACAACACCACTCCCTACCCTCGCCCTGCTGCCACTTCAGATGTCAATCAAAAGTAATAGGTTGTCACTGGTCCTTAAAACTGACCTATATATTGAGGCTCCCATGACTCCCTCTTTGAGTTTGATTAATTTGTGAGGACAGCTCACAGAACTGCTGGAAGCACTTAGGTTTACTGATTTTTTTAGGCAGTCAGTCCTCAATGTTTTCCATAGGTTCTTGGAAACTGGGTCATGAATGAAATGATATAAAGCAGGTACTCAAATAATGTTTGGTTCAATGTGATTATTATTATTATTATTTTGAGACAGAGTCTTGCTCTGTTGCCAAGCTGGAATACAGTGGCAAAATCTTGGCTCACTGCAACCCCACCGCCCGAGATCAAGCGATTCACCTGCCTCAGCCTCCCGAGTAGATGTGATTACAGGCACAAGCCACCACACCCAGCTAATTTTTATATTTTTAGTAGAGACAGGGTTCCACCATGTTGGCCAGGATGGTCTCGATCTCCTGACTGTGATCCACCCACCTTGGCCTCCCAGAATGCTGGGATTAGAGGCATAAGCCACTGCGCCTGGCTGTTCAGTGTCATTTTTTTTATGTTGATGAGGAAAAAAAAGTTGCCATTTCACTTAAAGTTCCAGTTTCCAAGAATCTATTGATAACATCAAGTGAGGATTTGGTGTATTAATAAAGGATATCATGAAAGATACCCAAGGGCAGCCAGATGAAGAGATACATACAGTGAGGTCTTAGAATGTTCTGAGCACAGGAGCTTCTGTCCTTGTGGATCTGGGTGCACCAACCACCCCCCTGGCATTCAAATGTGTTTATCAACCAGAAAGCTCTTTGAACCCGATAGATAGATCAGGGATTTTTTTATCGAGGCTTCATCCGGTAGGCATGAGAGAGTATTAGCTCAATCTTCAGCCCGCTCCACTCTTGGGGAAATGGGGGATGCAGCTGAAATTTCCAAGCTTCGAATCATAGCTTAGTCTTTCTGGCCAATGGCTGTATCCAGGAGCCCACCAAGACTTGCGTCATTAGAACAAACACATTCCTATCATGCAGGAAATTCTAAGGGATTGAGGAACTTTGTGCTGGACCTGGGGTCAAAGACCAAATATGAGAACAAAAGATTCTCCCAACAGCCCTATCTATGAGGTATCCATGTCCTAGGAACCAGGGGCAGAGACCAAAAATACATTTCTTGTTATTTCACACTCCGAGTGGAGCTCAATCCTGGTTTGACTTGAGAGTACCGAGTCATTTTGCAAATAAAACTCTTGTGCCTCCTTACCTGAGATTTCCCTTCCTGTAATGGGGTTGGGATCCAGCCTTCACAGTAGTTACATTACCCCAGCTGATTCTGATCTGTGTCCAGTATTGATAACCAGGCTCTGTGTCTTCCATTTCCTTTTTTTTTTTTTTGAGATGGAGTCTCCTTCTGTCACACAGGCTGGAGTACAGTGGGACAATCTCGGCTCACTGCAACCTCCATCTCCCAAGTTCAAGCAAGTCTCCTGCCTCAGTTTCCCAAGTAGCTGGGACTACATGTTTGCACCACCACACCCAGCTAATTTTTGTATTTTTAGTAGAGACGGGGTTTCACCATGTTGGTCAGGCTTGTCTTGAACTCCTGATCTTGTGATCCACCCACGTCGGCCTCCCAAAGTGCTGGGATTACAGGTATGAGCCACGGTGCCCAGCCTTTTTTATTTTATAGCTGGAGTTTCGCTTTGTTGCCTAGGCTGGAATGCAATGGGGGCGATCTCAGCTCACTGCAACCTCTGCCTCCTGGGTTCAAGCAATTCTCCTGCCTCAGCCTCCCAAGTAGCTGGGATTACAAGCGCGCACCACCACACCTGGCTAATTTTTGTATTTTAAATAGAGACGGGGTTTCAACATGTTACCCAGCCTGGTCTCGAACTCCTGACCTCAGGTGATCTGCCCATCCTGGCCTCCCAAAGTGCTGGGATTACAGACTGTGTCCTCCATTTCTGAGGGCTGAGCTCAGCCTGGGATCCACAGAGAGGTGAGGGTGCTGTGCTCTGCATGGGGCTTGCTCAAGGCCAGGTCTGTGCCCTGAAGGGAAGCTCAGTCCAGCCCAGCTCCCCACTGCTGCAGCGTGCATGTGGGCTTCTCCAGGAGGACAGCGGGTTCTGAAGAAAGGGGTGACAGACTCACCTACTGGTCTTTCTACAAGTTTCTTGTTCCTCCATCATTCCTGATGCAGTGGGTAGCGAAGGACCGTCTTTGCATGGGGAGAGGTCTTCCCTGTGTGTGTGGTTGTGGAAGGAAGTGGGTGTGTTGATTCTAAGCATTAAATAACTTCTTTTTCACATTCCAGATTGACCTCTAAAGACTCATGTTGCCTGAAGAAGTCCAGAAGAGAAGAAAGGGGAAAGAAAAAGGAGACAGGGATGGCTCTTCCTCAGGTAAAGCGATATTCTTGGGACGTTGTTCTGTTTCTCTTTCCTTTCTGAAATCTCTTTCTTTGAAGCTGCAAATCTCTGAGTCTAAAGCGTCCCGCCTGACAGGTTTGCTGGCACTCACCCATGCCTTCCCTCAGTCCATCTCATCTCACTTAGATGCCATTGGCTGTGATGCAGTGACATGAACTTGGGAAGAGGCTGCACCGGGCGTGGTCTTGGGAAGGGCTCACCCCAGACATGGACAGACACAGGTGTGGGCCGCATGGTGTCAGGGCTGTCGCACAATAGGGATTGTTTAGCGGCCACATCTGGATATACTGTGAGGTCTCTGTGGACCAGGATTAGAGAAGCTGGATGTGGAAGTCACCTACTCATGTGCATAAGTACCTAGGAAACCCTAGCAAAGGAGACTGATTCGGTGAATTCTGTTTGTCTGATTTGGTAATACATTCGAAGATAAACACATGAACCAGTATACTTCTGGCTCCAGAACTGTTACGGTTTGGAATGGAATCTAAAGTTCAGAAACACCTTAGGGAGGGTGTTTTATACTAGCTCCGATTTGTGTGTGTGTGTGTGTGTGTGTGTGTGTGAGAGAGAGAGAGAGAGAGAGTTTTGCTCTTGTTGCTCAGGCTAGAGTACAATGGCACAATCTCAGCTCACCGCAACCTTTGCCTCCCGGGTTCAAGCGATTCTCCTACCTCAGCCTCCTGAGTAGCTGGGATTACAGGCATGCACCACCATGCCTGGCTAATTTTGTATTTTTAGTAGAGATGCGGTTTCTCCGTGTTTGTCAGGCTGGTCTTGAACTCCTGACCTCAGGTGATCCGCCCACCTCGGCCTCCCGAAGTGCTGGGATTACAGGCGTGAGCCATGCGCCCGGCCAGTTGTGTATTTTTAAACTGTTCAGATATTTATATCTGAAATATTTTCCATAGCCTTAAATTTTTTCCTACATCATCACATTAATGAGTTAACGAATAGTAATACTAATTATGTGCATGCATGTGTATGTATGTGTAATGACCTTTTATGCAGTTTCATGTT